CATCTTTGTTTGTATGTGGTGCTGAGGATCGAACCTGGGCCGCACGCATGCCAGGCGAGCGCGCTACCGCTTGAGCCACATCCCCAGCCCCTAAATTCTTTCCTTGACTGAACTTTTTAGATCCATCCAACAAATATGCTGGTAGATGGTCCCAATACTTAATACAAAATAAAAGACTACAGAAAATATCATGGAAGGTTACAACACAGGTGATTATAAACAAAGAGGCAAGTCCATCAAAAGGGAAGGTGACAATTTTTATTAGTATTACAAAAGCAAAATTTAACTTCAGTCATTTGAATAATTGCAAGAGCAGACTAAGGGCTTAATCCTCACACAGGCACCAAGTCAGGCACAGTAGGTAGCTACAAATCATAAGAAAAAGGTTTCTTCTACCTAGGGCACTCTTCCATGCTTTGGAATTAGGTTACAAAACTCAGCAAACCTAATCAGTTCCCTTTAATCCTCTCTTAAAAAAATTGATCTAGGTATTAACTAGCTGTCTAGTAAAAAGTAGTCACTAAATCCTGGCCTGAGAGAGATCCACATTTCCTTTAAAACAAACAGAAGAAACTAGTTAAATGTGTACATTTCTGAGGGCTCAATGTGTGAGTCCCTAAAATGCAGACCTTGCGGGCTCAGACCTGTTTCACCTAATGCATGTGGAGGAAATGGAGGTGAGGACGATCACCTGAGGAGCGCCAGAGCTCCAGCTCCAGCACAGACACTTCCCCGGGCAGCAGGAAAGGAGGTAGCAAGGACTTGGGCTGACATCTGAAGCACTAAGCTAACGTGCCTGGCAGAGGGGAACCTCAGGAAGCACAAAATGTTATTCACCTGTGCTGTCCACAAATCTGAGGTTTCCATGTTAAGTTTTAAAGGACACAGTGGCATGTGTGACAAGGCAGAAAATTCAATCATGGTCTCAGGGTTTAAGAAATCCTGGTGTTTTCTGCCTCATCAGTACTAGTGCCTGTCTGCTTTTACCTTACACTGGAGAACAAAGTGTTTTAATCTCCACTCCCACACCTCCAGGCCCTTGTCAGAATCTTTAGTAAACTCAGCTAGCATATTACTTTTTCAAGGAAGCATAGGATTAGAGGTATGTGAGGAGTGTAGTTATTGAAGGGAAGACTCAGTAAGTTCTAGGATACTGAAAATCAAGAGTATCCTAGAGCCCAAACCATCAAAAGCTGAATCAAATCTATTCTGAATTCTGGCAATTCAGTGGTTCAAATGGAATCAATTGGATTACTGGGGGGAAAAAACCCAAAACACCCACTTCTTATTCCACTTACTATAAAATCTAATATAAATAACTGCTAAATTTAAACCTAATACATCTTTTGAGCTGTGCATATGTAATTACATGTATTTAACAAGTTGCTGCCATGGCAGGCAGTATATCTAAAATGAAACAAGGTCATGAATATATTAGATGGCATCTGCTAGAATCACTGAAAAATTAGCTGGAAGTAAGTGCAGTATTTGGAGACAGATAACCATCCTCCAGATCCAGCTGACTGCTATCTATCTACCTTACGTATATGTCTGTGAGAGGATTAATTGCAGTTTATTCTAATAAGGTAGGCCAACACTGAATATGACATTTAATCATTCTACAGTCAGAGCTATAGTGCTGTAACCAGAATTTTCACAAAGGGTTTAAAGGTTGAAAGTTGCCTGATGTTAAGAGCTGCAATAAATACTGCATAATTGTCCCTTAACTACCTTAAATCCCTACCCAAAGCAATGAAGCTATCACCCATGAAGCAGCAGTCCATGAGCAAGTCCATGCCAATGTTGAAGGTGCCAGAGTGCTGTCATGTGTTAATAGTCATTCAAGATCATGGAGTAATTACTAGTGTTCCTGAAGATTGCCAGAAGTTTAGCTGGTTTGTTTTTTTTTTTGTTTTCCCAACAAAAGTTCATCATGGGAGCAGTTTTTGACCACAGGTTCAACTTTTTCTTAGGTTGCAAAACTGGATCTGGTTGAAAGTACGACCCAAAATATTTGCAGCGCTTTAACTGAGAGGATGCCAGTTCAACTCGCTTTCGAAGTCTGATATTGTAAAAGCAGTTCTTAGTTTTCTCAACTAGCAGACAAGTCTGAATTACCTCATTACAGTGAATAACCTATACTTTTACAGTTTACTAAATTTTTACATTCAATTACCACATATTTCAAGATTTTTAATTCAAAACAAGAAATATACACGGGTTTCATTATTCAAGAACACTTGACTTTTGTCAGTTAATTTCATGGCAATATACACTCAGTCTCCAACTCTTTTGATTGATTTTACATATTTTCACTGGATAAGTTTTTTGCAAATTAAAAACAGGAAATGTTATCTTCCCTTCTTCCACAATAAGAAATATAGGGTTAAAATGGCGATTACTTAGATGTTTTCTACAATGATATCTCTTAAAATTCAGCTTATTAATTTAAAGGACTATAATTAAATAATCTAGCATGAAAGTTGTATAAAGATCATTAATATAAAAAGATGCAAACAAAATCATGGTGAATAAATGCTAAGTATAGAGGAAGAAATGTTTAGGTCTGTAATGTCTTAAATATGCAGCCAATTATCCTATTTTGCATTGTCAACCATATAAACATTTTGCACTTGCAGAAGACAGAATGACAGCACAGGAATTGTATTGCTCTTTAAAGATCCAACAAACATATGCACACACTGCAAGTTTGTATCACACACATTATCTCCTTATTCAAGTGACTAGCCAGTATAATCACAGGTTTAAATGCATCAACTTTAAACTGGGAATACTTCTTGAAGAATTTCAAAGCCCATAAAATATATGGTATTGATTAACCTTGCAACCCTGTTAAGATTAAATCCAACAAAATTCTTTAGAATTATGTTTGTTATTTTTACTGTTATTTTGTAGAGGTAGGCCCATTCACATTTCACTTAAGAGTCTTGGCAACATGCACATAATATCCCAATAGTGTAAATGTTTTAGTAGCAAATGTAAGTGGTTTAAAAAAAATGTGCTCAATTAAAAAAGAGAAACCTAGTTTTGGAAATAATTTCAATGACACTTGAACTTGTAAAGATTCATTAAAATCCAAGCAACTGCTAGTATTTCTCCTTATTAACATGGAAGTACAAAAAGAATGGTCTGATTAAAGGTCCCATATTTCCCAGAAAAATAAAAGCCCAGAAATTTGCAGACATGATAAAATTTAAATTTCATGCAATTTATAGCCACAAGTATAGTTCGGAAGCTGTAGGACAATGACTTTGCCCTTTCCCTAAGATGTGATCATTCATTTCATGAATGGGAAGTCCATAATTAAGAAAACAATATTAGATTTTAGGATTTATGACTGGAAATAGTTGACTAGGCTTTTCTTTTCTGAGGAGTAAGATTACAGGGAAAGAATGTTATTAAACATACAATACAAAGTATCTTATTTAGTGATAAATCACAATGTAAAAGAGACTGTCTTTGATAAATGGCAACACTCATTCAACAGGAAGGAGGCTCTGATAAGCCCAGAAATTATCTCTTCCATTTCTCATTCATTCTTATGAAAAATTTCAAAGTCATGATAATTGTAGCAGAAAGTCAGCCTTCAGTCTAAAAGCCACAATGCTGCATCGTGGTTCATCCAAGTCATGGTTAGCAGATTTTTGCTTTATACTTAAGAAAACTCAGTCACTTTCAAACAATTGAGATAAAACTTATACTGTGCTTGATTCTATTTTATCACTGTTAATTTTCGTCTGTGCAGATTATGTATGTTCATTGAGTTGCTGGATTGGGATCTAGCATTAACCAGCAAGGATCTTCCAACCTTTAAAGTTACTGAATCAAAGAGTAAATCGAGTAACTTGTACAACTGGCACTTGTAATCGATAGTTTCCATACTAGATGCATGCAGCTCTTATAAATACTAAAAGAGGCATTTTTGTCAAGTCTCAACATGCTTTCTTTATTGTAAATTCCACTAATTTAACCAGTTAATGGAATTTTCTGTAGGGGCACAATTTCATTAAGTCTTACTTACAAAACAACAGTATGCTGTTCTTTTATTTTAAAAGAACTTACTGTGTTTAAAATATAAATTGGCAGAAAGTAACTGATAGACCTAATTAGTAAAGCAGGGTCACAGTTTCATAGAGGTGTGTAACGATATGTATGCATTAACCATCAAAAGAAGGGGTCCATCCAACTAATTCTTTTAATACAAACTTGAACATTGTTTGTAAATGCCTCATTTAGAGTAGTGATTAGGGAAAGAGTTTAGAAAAGTCCAAGTAATAAAAATGTATTCAATTACTTGGGAAAGTTAAAAAGCTAATGCAACAATGTTACATCTAGATAAAAAACATTATTCAAAAGCAATTCAAATACCGAAAAGGGTTTCAAATGGAATATTTTATTAACATGGTAGTTGTCTTTGTAACATGTGCACACACACTCGCACACTCAGAATGATCTGCCTGGGGAAAAAAGACTATGCCTAAGGGGAAAATGAAAAATAAAAAATTCCTGTAGGTTTTCATTATTGTAGGCAATTATGTCCACATCACTTACAAAGCTATTGCCAAATCTGTCCAAGGAAGCAGAGTTTGAAAGGGGAGGGGGGAGATTTTGGGATAAATTCCACAGTGGCATAGCAGAGCTCTCAATATGAGAAAGCTGACATAATGTGGACTTTTGCTGTGAATTTTCTCTTTGCAAAATATGGGAAGAAGTTTATCAATGGGCAGAAAATAAGAGAAGGCGGTGTGAAGTAGGCTTTTGCAGTCAATTTTCCTCACAGTATTGTGCAGGGTCATCAAGAAAATGCTTAGTCTTTCTCTGGAACCAGTTTCAGAACTTTTCCAATTGCAATGGTCTTACCTAGAAATGAAATTAAAAAGAAACAAACAAAAAACACAAACTTTCAGTAGTTAACAGCACGTGTATGTATGGTATTAAATACTAACTATCTGGCTTTATCAGCAAAGCTGGTTTAAGGTTAAATAAACTTATTAAGCAGGTCTTATTTGGGGGGCTGGAAAAGAGATAGGCCACATTTTGTTTATCCAAGGATAGTGAAAACCTATCTACACAATGGAGTATCATTGAGCAATAAAAATAAATTATAGTACATGTATCAACATAGCTGAACCTCAAAACCCTGCTAAGTTTAATAAAAGGACCAGATATTTATGATTCTTTCATGGAAATCCAAAAAAGACAAACATAAAAGATAGATCAGTGGTTGACTAGGGCTAAAGGGTAGGAATAAGGGGGACTTAAGGCTTCTTTCTAAGTGTACTAAAACTAGAATGTGATAATGATCATACAACTCTGTAAGAACACTAAATCCACCAAGTTACGCACTTAAAATTAAAACAGGTCAATTTCATGCAGAAATTATATTTAAAGCTCTAAGGAAAAAAATCCCTATCCTTAGCAGCTGAAAAGATGTAGCCTGCAATCCAATGAAAACATTCTTCCAATAGTATTCCTATGGACTGAAAGAAGAATACAGAACCACTGGGGTATTGTAAAACTTTAAAAATAAACAAACAAACAAATAAATACCCAAGTTATCTTTTAGGGGGAAAAATTTCTAGGATAAAAATCCTTGTTACATTTCCTTTTCTTCTATCTGCCTGATTATCAGGTACTGACTATAAACTAACACAATTACTAAGCTAAGCCAAAATCCAATTTCACTATTGCCAAGATTTTCAAGATAAGAAATTTAAAGTAAAAGAAACACTGTCTTTACTGTTTTCTCTAAAATAAGGTACAGTGACTATATTAATCACCCTGGCTTCAGATAGTTCTTAACACTTAGTAGATATTCAAGTAAGTTTTTGCTGAATGGATTAGAATTACCATGTGAATGTTGTATATTTCAACTGGAACATGGAGTTTCATGTAATTTTTTCTTATCTAAGTGAGAAATATTAACAATCCACAAAGAAAAATTTCATAACAGTCATTCTGGATCTTTTATTTTTTATACTGACACAAGGTCTCACTTAGTTGCTGAAGGTGGCCTCAAACTCCTCAAACTTGTGATCCTCCTGCCTCAGCCTCCCAAATTGCTGGGATTACAGAAGTGTACCATCATGCCCAGCTAAATCTGTTTTCACATCAAAGAATTTCATGAACCTGAAAGGAAAATCACAACTGTTCTGCATCACTCAGAGGTTGACAGAAATGGATGCACACAAAAGGAGATCAGTATCACACCTCTGGAAAACTATGTATTTTTTTTAAAAAGAAAAAGCCATGAATATGCCTGTATTTTCTTTTCTTTCTTTCTTTCTTTTTTTTTTTTTCTGGGGATGGCCTTGTGCATGTGACGCAAGCACTCTACCAACTGAGCTGTATCCCTAACCCACCTGTATTTTCATAATAGAAATCATTTAGTAATGCCCTTCAATAGATGAATGGATTAAAAAATATGGCATTTATACACAATGGAATATTACTCAGCACTAAAAAATAAAAAAATCATGGCATTTGCAGGCAAATGGATGGCACTAGAGCAGATTATGCTAAGTGAAGTTAGCCAATTCCTAAAAACCAAATGCCGAATGTCTTCTTTGATATAAGAGGGGTGACTGAAAATGGGATAGGGAGGAAGAGCACGAGAAGAAGACTACCACTAGTGGGAGGGAAAAAGAGGGAGAAGGGGAGTTGCACGGAAGATGGAAGGAAAACTTCATTGTTATGCAGAATACATATATGATGTGATAAGAAAAAGAAAAAAAAGTGTGTCACATTAGATTGGATATAGAGAGAGAAAGGATGGGACAGGAGGGGAGGAATAAGGGGGATAGGAAGGGCAGCAGAATAGACAATATGATTGATGTATGTACATTCCATGTATGTACTATATGTCAAAAATACATTCTGCTGTCATGTATGACTAAAAAAATAAAAATAAATCGTATGGTTAAAAAAAAAAGAAATCATTTAGTAAATTTAATTACCTTAAAAACCCACTAATAACAAAATATCAAAATTAAAGGTCTTACTTCATATACAATATGGTCAATTCTGTTTGTTGTTCAGTATATCCAACTCAACATTTATTCGACAAATATTATGGAACATGAATCTGTATTTCCTTTGAACCTGTTGCAATGTGGACTTTGCTAGGCATCCTAGAAATCAACTTAACAGGACTTACCCTCATCTCTTAAAGTAAAACGACCCATTTGAGGGAAGTCTTTAAAGGTCTCAAGGCAGATGGTTCCTGCTGTCCTTAAGCGGGCGATGCATACTTGATCTTGTTTCACAAAACGGGGTCGAGTCTTACTTTTTTCCCCTGATTTTTTGTCTACCAAGCAGATTAAGGCCTATCCAAGAAAAGATAAGAAAATCAGAAAAATGCCAAATATAAGCAACTTTTAGGAGTACAAACAAAAATGTATCATAATTGCCCATTAGACACTTTTAAGATAAAACAATCTCTCTTTTTTCTTTTTTGGTATCAGGGATCAAAACAGGGGTGCTTAACCACTGAGTCACATCCCAGCCCTTTTTATTTTGACTCAGTCCACTAAGTTGCTGAGGCTGTCCTCAAAATCATGATCCTCCTGCCTCAACCTCCCAAGCTGCTAGGATTATAGGCTTGCACCACAACACCCAGCAAGATAATAAATCAAAATAAGTCAGTAAATAAACAAACCAATTAGTTTAAAATAAACTCACTGTTATTTCGACTTCCTCAATACAGGTATGAATATGCAGCACCGCATTATACCCTGGGCAGATGATGGATTTGTGCTCTATAATCACTATCTGCCAAATAAGGAAAAGATGAATTCTTTCTTATTAACCTTGTTCACAAGGTGAGTTAGATTGCCTAATTTCAAAGCATGAATTTCAGTATCCTATTCTACTACAAATGGCAAGTGCCTGGTAAACTTTAACCAACATCCACTAAAAGTAAACAACCTTATATATGTGACATCAAATCTAACCTGGTTAGTCATCATACTTTATTAATAGTATTCAAACTTCTGTTAACCACACCAACTATTCACTGTCATTCTCCAGGGAGCTCAGGTTGCTACTGACATGGAGAAAATATGTGTGTGATTCCTATCTAAGTTATTTGCTATGAATGAGCAGACAAACCACAACTTCCAAGGCAACTGAGCTCTAGTCAAAGTGAATGACACTAAACAAAATGTAAGTAATGATAAATCACTACTAGTATCTGTTTTACAAAGTGAATATTAGTTACATTTTGATCAATTGATTAAAAATAGGCATTCCCAAAAAATAGTCCCTACTCAATAAGTACTTGTATCATCTTGAAGACTGAGATATACATCATAATGGTGATATATAAATGGTTCCTACTATTAATTTTCCTAATATTAGTTAAGTGGCATGTCACAAATATTTAAGACAAAAACATAAAATCCTAATTAACTTCTCTTTCTCTTCTTAACATCACTACAACAACTATAATAAGTAATCTACCTGGGCATCAAACGTGCGTCCAGAATGACAAAGGTTATTAGGATCACAAAGTATGAATCCTGGAAGAATCTCTTCTTCTTCGATTCCTTTGAGTCTGATTTTGAGGTTTTCACCTGGTGCTACAGAATCTGTTTCTACATCATCAGAAAGTATTCCAAGAACTTCCACGTTGTGCTTTAAAATAAATCAGGAAAGGTTTTATGGCATTCACTGCATTGTAGACCATAAGAATGCCAATGTCACCTCATGATCGCCACATTAATGTATATTCATTAAATATACCATGCATCCTAATCTTGCAGCAAAGACAGTAAATATGATATCTCATTCTAGATGTACAGCTGCCAGTGAAAGTTTTTTCCTCTTCAATAATAGGGATTGATCCTAGGGCCTCAAAATGCTAGGCAAGCTCTTTACCACTGAACTACCCTACCCTCTAACCTGTGATCTTCTAAATATCACATTCTAATAATTTCCAAATAGAACACGGTATAAACTAGCATTTTTTTTTCACTTTTTAAAAACTAAAACACCAAATTTAATATCTGACTTTTGACTTTATGGATGTAAAATTTTATTCCTGGGGCACTCTAGGACTTAATATTAAGATCTATCTTCCATGACCTAACAACTACAAAATATCTCAAGTGTGTTCCTGTTATGGTTTAGATGTGGTGTCCCTTGAAAGCTCACATGTGAGTCAATGCAGGAAGTTTTGGAGAGAAATGATTGGGTCATAGTTTCAGCCTAATCAGTGAGTTAATCCCCTAATGGAATTAACTAAAGTGGTAGGGTGTGACTGGAAGAGGTGGGAATTAAGGGTGTGGCTTTAGTACACACATTTGTATCTGGCAAGTAGAGTGTGTGCTTCCAGATCACCCTGAAGTGAGTTGTTTCTCTCTTCCACGCTCTCTCACCATGATGTTCCCCCTCACCTCAAGCCCTGAGGAATTGAGCCGGCCTTCTATGGACTAAAATCTCTGAAACTGTGAGCCCTCAAATAAACTCTTCCTTGGTGGTGCTGGGGATTGAACTCAGGGCCTTGTGCGTGTGAGGCGAGCACTCTACCTACTGAGCTATATCCCAGCCCCCTCTCCTATAATTGTGCTGGTTGGGTCCTTTAGTCTTCACAGCAGCAAAAAAGCCAATTAAAACAGTACTTCTTGAAAGTTACTGCTGCAACAACTAAGCTTGAAAAGCACACAACTGTGTAATGAATATAGGATTTCCTTTTGGGAAAGGAACTAGACAGTAATGGTAGTTGTTGCACAATATTCTAAATATACTGTTACTGGTGATAAATTTTATATGCTCCCCTGACTTTTGTGATAGTGCTACAGACCAAATTGAGCAAAAACTCAAATCAACTATTATTTTCTTTCAGTGTCAGCCTGGAGTTGCAGTGATGATCATGTTAGGAAATGTAGGCTTAAAACAGAAACCCTAAAGAACAATTTGTAAGGTGCCAATGATACTTAAACTTGGGCAATGGATAGACACCTTTTCTAATTCACAGACCCTGGAATGAGCATGGTAAAAAGAAAATCTTCAATTAAATCTATTAAAAATCTCTATTTGGGGGGCTGTTGCTCAGCAGTAGAGCACTTGGCACCTGTGAGGTGCTGGGTTCGATGGTGCAATAAAATAAAGGTATTGTCCAACTACAATTGAAAAAATAAATATTAAAAAAAAAATCTCTATTTGGAAGTTCTGATGATTCAAGTCAATATTCCCACTCAAGCAATATCTCTGAAGGTGTTACAGAAGCCCTCTCTCTTGAAAACAGTGTTTTAGCAACAGGTCATCTGCAAATATCAGCAGATGAGCCGTCAGAAATATTTAATAATATTTCATAGTGATATTGCCATGTTTTAATGAAACATCAACAGAAAAAAATTTACAATAAGGTAGGAGGAATTAAAAAAAAAAAAGACCCATTTAGGATAAAGGCAAATTCTCTGCGTCAAAACAAATTAAGGTTGGAGATATTATTTTATAATATTTAAAACACGAGAAAGCTTACTAGATCATAATTAAACCTATTTTCTTCCTTGGCTTCCTCAATGTTAAGTGCACAAATCTCTATTTACTTGCCTATAAAGACAGTGGCGATGATGGAGGTCTCCCTTTCATGCTATATCTTTTAACTCTAACATGTTAATACTGAACCCTCCATTTCTCAAATGAATAACAGAAATACCTTTCTAAATAGTTTTTCTAAAAGTTTACACTTGGCATTGGTAAGACATAATCATTATTTTAAAGGTAAGTTTGAAAATGATTGGTTTATAGTTTTAGCCTAATCAGTAAGTTAATCCCCTGATGGAATCAACTAAAGTGGTAGGGTGTGACTGGAGGAGGTGGGAATTAAGGGTGTGGCTTTAGTGTATATTGTATCTGGCAAGTCAGAGTCTGTGTGATGTGAGATGCTTCTCTCTGCCACCCTCTCCCACCATGACGTTCCGCCTCCTTGCTAACATTTTCAATAGAAAATCTAAACAGCAAAGAGCATTACTAACTCTTACCTTATTTGGCATCATTACAAGTTGCTGGCCTTTACAAATAGATCCTGATTCCAGCTTTCCCAGGACCACAGTGCCCATATCCTGTTCAAATAAGATAATAAAATTAAAAATCATGTTTCAGACCTTTATTGCCGCTCTACAGCAGTTGACAAGCTCAAAGTGAAATTCTATAGTACTTTCTTATAAAATCATTAGCTTAAAGTAGAATGGTATTGTGTGCACGTACAAATATGTAACCAGGAATTCCACTATTATGTGTAATTAAAAATGCACCAATAATAAAGGAGTAGAATGTTTAGGATTATCCTTAAACATGGGGAGGGGGACAAATGCTCTGTAATAACTGTGTCATAAGCTTATTAAGTATGCTTAAAATTTAAAAACGAAGCATGGTGCAGAAGACAGCAAAGATCATTAAGATAGAAGATATGAATTGTTTGTACAATTTCAGGTTCTCCTGATCTAAGCCTGTTTCCTCTTGTGTAAATTTGGAAAAACAATAGTTGTTCAAGAATATTAGAATGGAGGACAGAACCTGAGCATGATATATTAAATGAAATAAGCCAAATTCAGAAAGTCAAAGTCATGTTTACTCTCATGTGTAAACTAGAGAGACAAAAGGGGTGGGGGCAGATCTAAGAGAGTAGAGGAAGGGGACCAGGGAGAAGGAGGATGGAAGGGAAATGGGAGCTACTGGTGAACAAAATTGACAAAATCACATTGTTACTGTAAAACTTTTAAAAATTGTGGGCTAGGGATATAGCTCAGCTGGTAGAGTGCTAGCCTTACATGCAAAAGGCCCTGGATTCAATCCCCAGCTCCAAAATAAAAGTAAAAACAGAAAAACAAAAAGCCAAACCAAAGACTAACACCTGGATTGGTGAGGCTGATAAAACTAGCACTCATATGCTGCTAGTGGTATTGTAAATTAACATGATATTTTCACAAGGCTGTGTATCAATATCCACCAACTTTAACGTGGGAATACTTTAAGCCCATTTGTAATGAATTTATTGCTACGAAGTGATCACTGACCAGGCATGGTGGTGCACACCTATAATCCCAGTGAATTGGGCCCAAGGCAGGAAGATTGCAAGTTCAAGACTAGCTTCAGAAACTTAGCGAGGCCCTGTCTCTACCAAATCATGGTCTACATACATAATATATATAGTATACCATATGTACCATGAAAAAAAGATATTATATCATTAGTAAGATTGTTTCCTAATTAGAAATAAACACAAAACAATGATTCTGCCTCCCACAAAATCCAATTTCTTTAAATTTTGGGTACCTTGTACTTATCCACAATTGGCAGCCTGATTGGTCCATCAACTGATCTATTGAAGTTTGGCAAATTATCCAGATATGGAATAAATGGTAATCCACTGAGAATAAAACAATAGTGAAAAGTCAACATAAATACAAAAATTTTAAGAAGTTACACAAATGTACTCAACTTGGCTGTAATATTTCCATTCTACCCATGACCTCTTTTAATTCAATTTATTATGTTATCATACTCCCCAGAACACTACAATAAACTTTCCCTTTTATTTGAACTGGAAGATTTAACATTGTGTAGCTGCCTTTTTTTGCAGAAATTACAAGCTAATCCTAACATTCATATGGGAAATTTAATGAGCACGGAATAGCCAAAACAATCTAGAAAATAACAAAATTGAAGACATACACTTCCTGATTTAAAACATCAGAAGTACAGCTAGATTATGTGGTACTGGAAGAAAACTGAAATCCAGAAATAACCTCTGAAGGCCATTTGATTTTCATTGATCCAATTTAGTAAAGAATCATGTTTTCAACAAATTGTGCCTGAATAACTGGACATCCATATGCAAAAGCAAAAATTTAGACACAGACCTTCAACTTACATTTCTGATAAAAGTGAACTATAACACATTTAGAAGAAAATATTTTTGTGACCCTCAGGCAATGTTTTCTTAGATATAACACCAAAAGAACGATCAACCAAAGGGGGGAGAAAAAATAAAAAGATAAACTGGATCTTATCATCAGTAAAACCTTGTGTGCTTCAAAGGATACCAAGTGAAAAAAGAGGGCTGGGGATAGAGCTCAGTGGGTAGAGTAATATTGGAAAGCCTTGGGTTCAATCCACAGCATGCATATGCATATGTACATGGAAACCATGTGTAAGATGGATGAAAATACTTTCTAATCATGTATTTGATGAGGGAATTTGTATCCAATACATAAAAGAACTCTTAAGATTCAAATACAACCCAATTAAAAATGGGCAGTGGTTCCTAGTATTTTTAAAGTCAAGGGTATAGCCAATACTTAAAACAAATTTTTTTGGTAGGTATAGATGGACAGAATGCCTTTATTTTATTTGCTTATCTTCATGCAGTGCTAAGGATTGACCCAGTGCCTAACATGTGCTAGGCAAATGCTCTGCCACTGAGCCCCAGTCCCAGCCCATATTTGCTTAAAGTTACTTATTAAGACACACACACACACACTTTGGGTACTGAGGATTGAGCTCAGGGGCACTTGACCACTGAGCCATATCCCCAGCCCCATTTTTAGAAACAGGGTCTCACTGAGTTGTTTAGCATCTTGCAATCCTCCTGCCTCAGCCTCCTAAGCCACTGGGATTACAGGCGTGTGCCACCTTGCCCAGCTAAGACATAGTTAAAAAAAAAGAAAAAAAAAAAAAAAAAAAAAAAAAAAAAAAAAAAAAAAAAAAGAGAAATAAAAGGTTACTTACTTGTACCAAGGACAGAAATCTGATTGCTCTTTGAGGTTTGCTCCAGTCAGTCCTGAGCAGGGCATAAAGTGAATGTCTTTTTTGGGATTGAAGCCAACTTTTTTCAAAAATGGCACTAGTTTCTCTTTACATTCTTCATATCTATGAATATTTATAAATAATTCAATTATAAGGTCAACCAATGAACTCTAGGGAAATATGCATGGAGTAGAAAAACCATGTTTTATTTTACCAACATATCTATTAAAAGACCAGAAAGACATCTACGCTTACCTCTCATTGCTCCAATTTACTGTTGGATCATCCATCTTATTAATAAGCACAATTAAGTGTTTTACACCTGCTGTCTTTGCCAACATTGCATGCTCTCTCGTCTGTCCTCCTTTTTCAAAGCCAGTTTCAAACTCTCCTTTCCTGGCTGAGATGACCTATTCCAAGAAGTTAAGGAATTTATTCTTACACTTAAGATAGACTTTTCAAGCAGTAAAACATCTTTTATTTATATCAGAAATAAGATGATAGAAGAAAGTTACAATGTATGTGCTTTTGAATGTTGCTTAAGATTTGAGTGGTTAAGTCTGGGGGTATAGCTCAGTGGTAGAGTGGGCACTTAATATGCTTGCTTATCTATCTATCTATCTATTAATTAGTTTTCAGCGGACAACATCTTTGTTTATATGTGGTGCTGAGGATTGAACCCGGGCTGCACGCATGCCAGGCGATGGCACTACTGCTTGAGCCACATCCCCAGCCCCTTAATGTGCTTATTAGCATGTAGAAGATCCCAGGTTCCACTCAGCGCACCACATTTTTTTTTTTTAATCAAATCATATGATTTAGTACAGGAAAATGTCAGATTTGAGGAATGACTAAAGGCCTTAAGAAACGAGTGGTTTACTATTCATTGCTAGAAGGTTAAACATTTATTAGACACTAAGCTCTGACATATTTATAGATAATAGTGATAGGAGAGAAAGTTTAAAATGTATTTTCAGAAGTAAATTATAAAGATTTATTGGGCATATTAGTGCAACAACAATGAAAATTGTCACCATGTGTACGATATCATAGCTCAGTGTAAGCTACATTCTAACTTCCGAAAGGTGAATTTGGACATTTATTTGAAGCTATAAATTGGGTTGCTAACAAATACACAGATGGAAATGTCTTTCTTACCAGCACAGCCAGATCAGCCTGAGAGGCACCACCAATCATATTTGGGACAAAACTCTTGTGGCCAGGGGCATCTAGAATTGTGAAATGCTTCTTTTCTGTTTCAAAATAGGCTCGACCCACTTCTACTGTTTTACCTTTGTCCCGTTCTTCCTGATTTGTGTCTAAGGCCCAAGATAAGTACCTTGAAAAAAAAAAATTAAATAACAATAGAACATGAGATTCTTTTAAAAGACATTCTTCTACCATGAAAAGTAAATAATGACATCTTGCTTTGTGTCCATCATACAACTAAGTCATAAACAGGGCTAGTAAAATATAAAAATTAGAAGAGTAAAATGTGGCGGGTACAGTGGTGCATTTCTGTAACACCAGTTTCTTGAGAGGCTGAAGCAAGAGGATCATAAATTCAAAGCCAGTCTCTGCAACTTAGTGGGATATAACCCAGAGGTGGAGCACTTGCTTTTTTAGTAAGCATGAGGTCTTGAATTCAATTCCTAATAGGAAGAGGTGGAGAAGGGGAAGCACACTAGTACCACTCAAAGAGTTTTTATATATATCCACAATTATATATTCCATAAGCAAATGTTATTTATGAAAATAAGAATATAAGCTAATAACACACATAGAAAGGTACTTAGTACCAATGCCAGTATCATTGTGAGTGCTGCAAGAATGACCTCCTTTATATTCACATTATAATTACATAGTATGAAGTACAAGTCATGAGTGTAAAAAGTAAAGATACATTTCAAAAGTAAAGACCACCAACCAATCATGTGGGGCACTGGTTACTTGCTGAAAATTATTTCAATATTACTTTGCTGTGTAAAAATTATATAAATAGGGTTGGTAGTATAGCTCTGTGGTAACTGCTTAGCTGGCATGCTTGAGGCCCTGAGTTCATTCCCCAGTACCATTAAAAATAAAAACAAATCAACCCCTTCTCCACGACTAAAAGGCAATCACTGTTATTATTTTTCCCACTTTTTTCTTTCCAGTATTTATTTACATTATGATCATATAATAGCCAAAGAACAATAATGTTTTCTGCTTTCTCCCAAATGCCACTATAAAGTAATTCCTATTCCTACATATTATAAAGTCTGTAAATGTAATTTTTTGGTGATTATATGATGTCCCAACTGAATGGATGATTGACAATTTATTCAATAAGTGTCCTGTTACTAGAGGTTTGGATGATTTCTAAATTTTCTGTGTAAGCTATAAAGTCACCAGGAATAGATGTACTGTGTATTATGAGGTGAAGGGAAACATTACAAAACCATTATGTGGGCAGCATTTCCTTAAATAATTTATAGCATCACAAAAGTTTACCAAGTTTCTCTGTTTTTTTCTTTAGCTTCTCTTTCATATTTTTCAAGTGTCCTTTTGTCAACCATTCCAGTCAAATACCTGAAATTGATTAGAAAAATTAAGAAGTGAACAATTACTCTGTAAAAATAACAAATACTTTAAATCCTTTGAGAGGCATTATCTCCAGAAATCAAGTTTCTTTCTTCCTTTTTTTTTTTTTAAAAGAGAGAGAGAGCAAGAGAGAGCGCGCACGAGAGAGATTTTTTTTTTAATATTTATTTTTTAGTTTTCTGCGGACACAACATCTTTGATATGTGGTGCTGAGGATCGAATCCAGGACACACGCATGCCAGGCGAGCGCGCTACCGCTTTAGCCACATTCCCAGCCCCTCAAGTTTGTTTTTTAAAAATATTTATTTTTTTGCAGTTCTACACAATAACTTTATTTATTTATTTACTTATTTTTTTTTTATGTGGTGCTGAGGATCGAACCTAGGGCCTTGCATATACGAGGTGAGCACTCTACCAATGAGCCATAACCTCAGCCCCACAGAAAACAAGTTTTTAAAGTTAATGTGCCACTGGTGATGATAAAATCATGGAAAGTGGAAAAACTTTATAGAGGAGAATACTGGCAAACACCACCTTAACCAATCCTGGCTAATGTCACCAGCACTACATAAAACATATTGAATAAATAAAATACGATTATGGATACCATGGATCTTTTATAGGATGCACTGAGAAAAGCACAACATATTTTTAATGATATTCTTGCCCCAAATGCAAAACCTTGATAGAATTGTGAGAAAACAGCAGTCAAATCTAATTGAAGAATAGTCTATGAAATAAATGAATAGTGCTCCTAAAATTATCTAAGGATATAAAGCATAGGACTGAGATGTCATATGTTGAAAACTAAGAACTAAGAATTAAGTTCATTGTGGAATTGCAGAAAAACTCATAAAAGATCTGTTGTCTTAAGTTAATAGTATTATACTAATGTTAATTTTCTAGTTTTGATGAGCTATGGTTATGTAGAATGTTTGCATTAGGGATGGCTCAATGAAGGGTCTGTGGAACTCTGTACTGTTTTGTGACCTTTCTATAAGTCTAACAATTTCCAGAATGAAAACTTTTTAGAAAAGTAAATGTAGGGTTGGGGGTGTAGCTCAGTGAGTGCTTGTCAAGTATGTATAAGGCTCTGGATTCTATTCCTAACACTGGAAAACTACAACAGAATAAAGTAAATAAAAACACTATAAAAAAAAAATCAACAATGTTATCCAAATACCTGTCAAAGTGACACTATAATTTTAAAATAGTTCCTTTGTAATGCCTACTTCCCTCGATTCACTGTAAATCAAAGCCCTCCAGTTCCTAGCTTTCCCCTTTTTGTGTTCTCAGTGACAGTATAGTGTCCTGAATGTAGGAACCTCTGAAATGCCACCCAAAATCACAGCCTACCAACAAACATTATATATTCTCCTGACACATTATCAAATAGGCATGACACTTCCATCTATGTATGAGCTTTAGTCAAGGATGCCTGTTTTAAGCAAATTTCCAGACACTAGTGAGTAGTAATTGGCAAGATTATCAATTAAGATCATTGAACTAGGCAAACCATGTTATGCTCTCTAGCTCTTTTGATGACCTAGTTTAGAAGAAATGGGGTTAATACAGAGGGAATTAAAAAAATTTAGGGTCTTTTAATTATAAAGATCTACCAAAATTAAATACTTTATATTAAAGGTCAGCCATGGGGTTTTCATACCTAAATAGCTTCTACAATATGATTTACGAAATCTTAAAATGCTACCCAGACTACCTGACTTTGATTAAATCCACATAAATTTAAGGAGCCGATGAATGAAGAAAATAGTCCTCTCATTCACCAGATTTAAGAACTGGTGGGGCTGGAGACAAGAGCTCAATGTTCGGTGCTTCCTAACATGCATAAGGCCCTGAGTTCAATCCCTAGCACCAAAAGAAGGAAAGGAAAAAAGAAAAAAGAACTAGCTTTCATCATTCCCAAGTAAATTACGAAATCTCCTCAACTTAAAGTAAGGTTATGCCGTACCCCAATGTAAAATGAAAATACATTTAAAACATCTAACCTATTATCATTGCTTAGCCTACCTTACCTTAAACATGCTCAGAACATTTGCATTAGCTTTCACCTAGGAAAAATATTCCCCCAACAAAGTATTTTATAACAAAGTGTTAAATATCTCATGTATTCCAACAAAAGGGCATTTGTCAACAGACAGGAGGTAAAAAGGCATAATCATAATATCCAGAAATGCTGGTGCCAGAAAACTGTTGAGTGCAGGTTGTTTAACCTAGTGGTCACTGACTGGAAGTTGCAGTTTGCTGTGTCTGCCCAGCATCACCACTGAGTACCATTCCACACTAGAAAAACAAAATTCAAAGTAGTTTTTCTATTGAATCACTATTGCTTTTGTACCACTTTAAGTCAGGGACCATATTCAAAGCATACTAAGATTCCCTGTGATCTAGGGTTTTGTATTAGTTTCTATTAAAAAAAAAAAAAAAATCTAGGCCTGGCACAGTAGCATAAACCAGTGGCTCAGGAGGCTGCCAGGAGGATCTTGAGTTCAAAGCCAGCCTCAGCAAAACTGAGCAACTCAGTGAGACTCTGTCTCTAAATAAAATACAAAATGGGGCTGGGAATGTGGCTCAGTGGTTGAGTGCACCTGAGTTCAACCCCCCCCAAGAAAAAACAAAACTAAAAAGAAATGTATTTAATTAATGTCTACTGAGCGTCTGATGGTGATTAAGATTCTAACACTGAGCACACTGCAAAAAATCACTAAATATCATCAGCCTTCCCTACAGGTGATTTTTATTGTCTTCTTAACTTGAGGTTTATAATGACGGAAATTCACTTAATTAATTTTATTATTTAACAGAAGATAGACTTACATTATTTGTCCTCCAATGGTTGACTTGCCAGCATCTAAAAGTAATATCAACAACATGCAGCAACAGGTTAAAAAACAGCAACCAACTGCTACATATGCAAACACAACCACAGCAGCTATTTTTCAGCATCTGTAATCAAGTCTTGTAAAAGCAAGTAAAGTACAACAGATAGGACGTGGGGCATAAAGCCTAGTTACCTTCTCCTTTGGAAAGTGAGGCTGCCAAGTCTCCCTACAGCACCGTAATGGCTCAGACATGCTTTACTGATAAAAAGAACTTCTGAACAAATTGTTCTCCTATGTGCAGCTAGTAGCCCAGCAGCAACAGAATAAATACACTTCCCCAAGGAAAGCCTTAGAGGACTGCAATAAAAGCTAAAAAAGCTGTGAACTAATAGCCTTCATTTCACTTTTATATGTATATATTTTAGTTATAGTTGGACACAATACCTTTATTTTATTTGTTTATTTTTATGTGGTGCTGAGGATCGAACCCAGGGCCTCACGCATGCTAGGCAAGTGCTCTACCGCTGAGCCACAACCCCAGCCCTTCCTTTCACTTTTTAACAAATGGGAGAGGTGTTCCTTTACAAATTTCAAAATTTTGCCTTCTAAAAAAGGAGTTTGGTGTATGACACCAAGAAGGAGGCAGAAGGTGGTGTGGTGGCACACACCTGTTATCCTATCTATTCAGGAGGTTGAGGCAGGAGGATCCCATGTTGGAGGTCAGCCTGGGCAACTCAGTGAAACCCTGTTTCAAAATAATATTTTTATAGAAGGGCAAATCTATAGTTCAGTTTAGAGAGCTTGTCTATCATGTCCTAGGCTCAATCCTCATTACTACAATAAATAAATAAATAAGCAAGCAAAGATAGAAGAAAAATAGCACAGAATTCTTTATTTTCTTCTCCTAATTCTGGGTACAGGTCAGATAATCAGAGACTATCTGAATAAATAGGGCTTTGTTTTGTTTTGCTAAAGGAGCAACCTGGCAAATCACCACAAATTACTCCAAATTGTTAATTTCTTAATTCACACAAGTTTAAACTACCCAGTATCAAGGTCGAGGTCAACCCTATTAAAATTTAAAGTTCACACACAAAAATATTTTTTTAGAATATTAATCAACAGATGTCACAGTATGTCATGTCATCAGTGGTCTACAGACTACATTACACACAAAAATACTGAAGTTTACTTTCTTCCACTTCCATGCTATTACCAAGTTGTTCATCTGCCCAAACTTCAAAATAAATAGAAGCTCACTAATATCTTAAAGCAGCTAATTAAGATGTCTTATGCTCTGATGAATCCAATACTTTTGGTCATTTCTTATAAATGCCGTAGCTGCAACTTACCTACATGCCCAATGAATACTACATTTACATGTTCTTTTTTGGGAGCACCTGGTGGTGCAACCACAGATTTAGGTTTTGGTATTTCCTCTTCCTCCTCCATCATTTCTTGGGCACTTTCCTCTGGTGGCCTTCCATCTCCACCTCCTGGCTCCGCTTCACTTATTTCTTCTTTGTGCTCCCATGATTCTTCTGGGGACATTTCTGTCTCTCCATTTTCTACTGAAGTAAGACATTTTAAATCAGTATTCTGAAAAAGACTTAGCCATACTTTAAAATACACATGCCTTAAAACCAGTGGAACTTTGCATATGTAAATTCCATTTCCTAATGTCTAGTAACACATAAGTAGGAAAATCTCTTTCACAACCGAAATGGGTAATAGCTTTCAAGTTAGCCTCACTCTGATAACAAAGAGCTCTGACTCAAAGACCATGAGAGACTCCTGTAATGAAGCAGGGCTTCATTTTTTATGGACAAACCAAATGTAAATAGGAGAGTTAACATTCCCAACAGCTTAGTTATTCCAGTGTCAAGACAACCTGATAGTGGGATAAAAGGAAAAGCGTGAAAGGATTTAGGAGATATAGTTTCTTTTTCCTTTTTAAGTAATAAAACTTTGGCATGAACTTTAATAATAACCTTGGGAACATGAAACCCTTAAGAATAATAAAGTTATAAAAAGGAAGGAAAAATTTCACAAAGTTAATATTACGAATAACACAACTATTGAAATTGTCTCTAGCATTTTTCCACTCAACTATTTGTGATCACTCAATTTATCAAGGAAGCACTATGCCTGATAAGTTCTCCTTTCTAAATCCTAATAGCAAAGACTCAATAATGTGCCTTAAGTCGCAGACATTACAATAATCGGAACACTTACATTTAAACCTCAAATCTGGACAGTGAAAGTTTCATATTACTGTATTAATATGGTCAGAAATAGTCTTACCAACAGGTTCTGAAAGTTCCATGCTAACAGATGAATTTGAACCTAGACAAGAGATTGAGATATAATACATATTTATAAAAGAATATCTAGTTTTACACACCACAATTTAATGTTTTCCATTATAAAAAATTACCTTCACACAATGACTGTTCCTCTTGAGAGGGTTCCACAGGTGCTGTTTAATAGAAATAAGTTATATTTAAAATTAAGGTCTCAACATTGTTTTACTTATCTTATTTTTTTTGGGGTGGGGGTGGAGGTTAATGGGAATTGAACCCAGGGGTACTTAATCACTGAGCCACACCCCCCCCTTTTTTTTTTTTTGAGAGAGAGAGAGAGAGAAAACTTTTTAATATTTATTCTTTAGTTTTCAGTGGACACAACGTCTTTATTTTTTATTTTTATATGGTGCTGAGGATCAAACCCAGCGCCCCGTGCATGCCAGGTGAGCATGTTACCACTTAAACCACATCCCCAGGCCCCCAGCCCTTTTAAAAATAATTTATCTAGAGACACAGTCTCACCAAGTTGCTCAGTACTTTGCTAAGTTGTCAAGGCTGGTTTTGAACTCCAATCATCCTGCCTCAGCCTCCTGAGCCACTGGGATTACAGGCGTGCATCACCACGCATGGCAATTGAGATGTATTTATAAAAGTTTGCTTATTCTATTGATTTGCTTTATAATAAAATCTTTCTTTCATAGACAGTGTAAATGTAATGTGTAGTCCAGCCCAGATAAAATTAGTTTGATTTTGTTTAATAAATATATATATATACTTCTCTAGATTCTCTTGATGATAACCCTCTAGCTCAAGAAGGCTATAATTAGCCCTGAGGTTACAAACCATATATCTTATCAAGATCCCCTAAATAAATTTGATATCAATAAGATAAATGACATTTGTGCAAAGTCTCTGAATACATATAGGACCTTAAAATATCTGCAGAAAAAGGTGATTCCATTGTTGTTAGTTTTGCCCCACATTAGAACTTGAAGATCAAACAACAATCCAGTTTCCACAGTTATCTCATACTCCAATGTCAAAGTATTCTTGCCTTAAAAGAAATCTCCAAGATGTAGAAAGACACCCAAAAATTTGAACTATGAACCATACACAGTAAATGATATAGAAATGGTGAAGTTGTAACCTGCAAAACTCATACCGGAGTAAGGGAAGACCAGTATAACCACTGCAGGAAGTGTGCCCTGAGGACAACTGAATGGTACAAGCAGAGAAAAGGGTAGTGCAGATTCTAGAAGCAACACCTGACAGGAGCCGGAAGACAGGGATTAGCAGGACAGTAGTCGAAATGGGGGGTATCATTTAAACTAAGCTCGGAAGGGGACAGAAATTGTACTTTGGACCAATATACACCTCTTTTTTGCTTTTATATTTTAAGAAAAGTTTAAGGATAGGGGAAAACTGCTTCATCATCAGAGAAAGCCAGGCAGTGGTAGGGGCCTACCCTGAGCTGACTCTTGGATTGATATCTGATTGATATTGTGAGATGCAGATTTTTTACTGGAATTATGAACCACCTACCCGACAGGACCACTGAGAAGATTACACTTTAGTGTCAATTTAAGAACTCTTGGTTTCAACAAATGTTATTTCCCACTCACTATAAGGAGCCACTCCAGCTCAATTCTATCAATTGGGCGATAACACTCACAAAACCCACATAAAGGAGGTAGGGGTGAGCTCTGCAATTTACTCTAACAGCAACTGATTTTTACTAAGTCTTTACGTGCTGATTGCTACCTCATTTAATCCCTCAAAAAGCTCTATGAAACAGACACTGTAATCACTAGCATCTAATACACAGGCACTTGAGAATTAACTGTGATCTTTTCCAAGTTATACAAGTGCCATCCTGCCCTTCCTCAAATAGCCCCTGCTAAAGATCCGTACAGAAGTAAACCATGCTATCATGTACCAAGTATTTTAAGGCAGGAAAAACACTGAGACAACGGGTGGACTTCCTTACCACTTGCCATATCCTGGACTTCCCCAAACCAAACTGACCACCTACTTCCTCACATCAGCTCTTAAAGCTCTGAAATTAACATATACTATGTATGTCTGTAAGGGACTTTTCTGGAAAGCGCCATCTATCATGAGACCATCTCCATGGCTGAATAACGTGGCATAATGAAAATCTGTTCAGTTTTATTTTTCAAAAACACCTTGTGATTTGTTTGTTTTATGACTGTAAAGCCTACAGATGGCAAAAACAGAGCGAGCACTAAAAACAGTGGAGTGCTTGATACGCATGTGATGATGGAGTTAAAGGTCTTCAGTGGAAAGACCTTGCCAAGACATTCAGACCCTCAACCTCATGAACTCAATGGCTATGCTGGTGACACTTCTGAACCAACATCTCTGCAATGAGAAACAAACACTGTAGGATATATAGCAAAATGTTCTTTAAACTTAAACCCTATGTGATTGTACCCAGTCTTCACACATGCACAACCAAGCCTTACTCATTCACTTTGTTCTAGTCTTATCCATAAAGCATCTGATATCCAAATAATGGCAAATAATGAGGTTGGGTTTAGAGTTCTCCTAGGTTCAAAGTCATTTATTTGTTCAGTTAGCAGATGAACATTATGGCCTGGTTTCTATGTTTTGTATATTTGCTATACAATTTATCATATTTCCTAGTGAAGTTAGAAACCTTCCTTAGGAATAAAATTATGGCTTCAAATTTTTCAACGCTATCTCCATATTCAGAAATACAACCTTATCAAGTATTTAAATATGGGAACAATTCTAAATGGGAAAGTAGTCAGTGAGCCAATGAATTCAACACCATACTACTAATTAAAAGGATCCTACTAGAGAAAGAAGGTAAATGAACTGGCTCTGATTCTAGGTACATTACCACAAATTCTAAAACAATAAGTGAAAAGATCTTACCAGAAGACAGCTGGTCAACAATACTGCCTAAGGTTTAACATAGAGGATAATCTGGATCTTAAATGGTTAATGTAAGCACTGTGAAACACAAAACACAGAAGGGTGTAGGATTCCATTTATATGAAAAACTCAGATAGAGTGAATCCATAGATTCAGAAAGCAGACTGTAGCTTCCAGAAGCTGGGAAGAGGGCAAAATGGGTAGTAACTAAGGAATACACATTTCCTTTGGGGATGAAGAAAATGTTTTTGGATCTAGATGGAGGTGATGGTTGTACCACACTGGATGTACTAAATACCACTGAATTGTTTCCTTTAAAAATATTTAATTTTGCTATACGGACTGCACTTCAATTTTACAGGGTATATAAATTCTCTTTCTTCCCCTAATTCTGGGAATTGAACCCAGGGTTGCTTTACCTCTGAGATATATACACAGCGGTTTTCTTTTTTTTTTTTTTTTTGAGACAGGGTTTCACCTAGTTGCCAAGGCTGGCCTTAAATTTAAGATCTTCCTCCCTCAGCCTTCTTAATAGCTGGGATTACAAGCTTGTGCCATCACCACTGGACATATAAAATTCGTCTCAAAGTTTTATCATGGATGAAGGACTTAAACTTGGAGAATCCAAGTTGGCCAGCTCATCAATCCCGCACAAGTTATTCAAGGCTATATACATGGCAGGTAATAAAAGATATATTTGATTCAAATTACATCTTTTGAACACAAACATATGACTAATTCTTTTTTAAAAATGCTTAATTCAGGGCTGGGGCATACAGCTCAGTGATGCAGTACTTGCTTAGCATGCATGAGGCATAGGTTAAGCGCCTGCCTAGCATGTATGAGGCACTGGGTTCTTTTTTTTTTTAGCACCACATACAAATAAATAAAATAAAGGTCCATTAAAACCTAAAAACAAAAAACAACAACAACAAAAAACCAAACCAAACAAAAAAGCATAACCTATATATTTCATATATCATCAATTTAAATGTTTTACTGTGTTAAGTATAAAACCAATCTTTAACCCTCTCTACATGCAATAAATGTTTACTGTGGGGCTGGGGTTGTGGCTCAGTGGCAGAGCACTTGCCTAGCATGTGTGAGGCATTGGTTCAAACCTCAGCACCACATAAAAATGAACAGATAAAATAAAGGTATTCTGTCCATCCACAACTACAAATAAATAAATAAATAAATAAAAATGTTTAAGGTGGCTATCCTAACTAAAATTTCTCAGTCCTGTTAAATGATGGGTTCATTAAAGAAAAAAAAATTTGGTACCAGGAGTTGAACCCAGGGGCACTTAACCACTGAGCCATATCCCTAGTCCTTTTTATTTTGAGACAGGGTCTCACTAAATGGCTTAGAGCCTTGCTAAGTTGCTGAGGTTAACTTTGAACTTATTATCTTTCTGCCTCAGCCTCCTGAGCCACTAGGATTCACGTGCCACCATGCCTGGCAAAAAAGAACCAAACAATTTCTTTTATTTTTATTTTTTGGTAGTTGTAGATGGACAGAATGCCTTTATTTTATTTGTTTATTTTTATGTGATGCTGAGGATTAAACCCAGTGCCTCACACATTCTAGGCAAGCGCTCTGCCACTGAGCCCCAGCCCCAAACAATTTCAATGCTGTCACAGAGGCTGTAAGAGTCTTTCACAGCATGGAAGTGAGAAATGAGTGTCAAACGCCACCCAATGCAAGTTTCTGCAATGATGCCCTAATGGAAATGTTCTGTATCTGTGCTGTGACAGGATAGTCACTAGCTACGTGTACCTGAAACATGGATACTTTAACAGTTGAATTTTAAATTTTATAGAATTAATTTAAATTTATACATGTGGCTGTGTACTGGATACACAGTTCTAGCTCCTCAAAAATTCTCCATGGCTAAGATGCAGGTCAGTGGTACAGAACCTGTTTAGCTTGGCCCTGGGTTCCATCCCCAGTACTCCATCTACTCCATGCCGTGTTCCCTAACCCCAACACACCTCTTTCACACACATATTAGTTCTTGCTCCCTAGGAGATTACAAACTTCCGAATGACTGCATCATAGATGAATTTCTGGACCTTTTCTCCATGAGTTAGAACAGTGTCCAATATACACAATCAATTTTTACTGAATTAATTTCCATTTTCCTTTGGTTTCCATTACTAGTTTTTTTACAGTTGCATTACTTCATTTTTCTTCACCATCCTAGCCTCTATACATTTACTGAATTTCCATGAAGGTTAATAGAATAAAA